CAATTATTTTAAACCATAATCATAGTAGTTTTTTTGTCGTTTCTATGGCAACCTGTAAAAATGAATCACAACAATAGGCATACAAATAAATTTTTAAATTAGCAAACATTGATTCATATTTTTAATGATATTTACCTACTAATCGTGGATAGATGTTTTCGTGCGATGTTAAGAGGAAGAAAATATTTCCCTTTAACGATATATATCAAGATATGTTTGAATGTTATTTTCTGGAAAACTTTAAGGGCAAACGAAATTAGAGCTGTCATGCCTTATGTAATTTTTTTAATATAAAATAATTTTTTTAAGCTACTTTGCTCAGGATAGGGATTGGCACAGGTGCCATTCGGTAAAGTACAATGTTTTTCCATGCTTTTGGGGTATATTTCATTTCGTTATCAGATGACGGTAAAAATTTGCAGTGGGCTCTTGGGCTATTAGAGAGATTGATTTTTTATAAAAATGTCATGTTTTTTTTTTCGATATATGGCCCAGGTGTATGTACCTAATATGTCAGTCTCAGTTTGTGTTTCAATTCTTAATCAAGTGTGTTCTGTGTAGGCTTTGTTACTGTTTCCCAGCGCCGCGTCAGGAACAGCACTGTTAATTAGAACCCAACAGTGAATGGTCGAGTGGGAAATGCTACATATGCATTAGAAATAATATTTAATTTTTTTTGAATAAAAACTCCTGCCACCGCACAGTGGGTCAGAATTGAAAAATTCAAAAATAACAAACTACTAAAATAGCAATAAATTTTTATAGATCACAACTAAGTAGGCTCTGGAGCGTTCTATAGTATATTGTGTCTATGAAGACTAGAGATAAGGAGACGAATCGGCATACTCAAAATACGGTCCCAAAAACCGCATGCTAATATTGAGCTTCTATAATTAAACGCATGGGCGCTGGTACTGCATACGTTGTTCAAAATACATGGCTTCTTATAGGAATTATACATAATTTTGTCAAAATAATAAAAATAAACTTGTTTACAGCTAAATAAAGCACATAACATACTGTTGTATTTATTTCTAAATAAGTCTTGCATGTTCTAATTGATAAATTATTTAATTTTATCTATATAAAATACAAATTAGGTATGTATGACCAAATTAGAAAAGGTTTCTTAATTGCTGAAATTTGATAAGTATAATTTTGTGGCAAATTTATTTTTTTTTAATTAAACCAATATATAGTTTTAAGAGTAAAATAAAACACAGTTAACAGATTTTTTATTGTTGTAATACAAGTATAAAGGGAGATTTGGGAATGTACATGGTATTACCTCATCCTTTAATTTCAGCTTTCCCCGTTTTATTTTGCTAACAGTACCATCAGTAAAAATAGTCTCATAATATTTAAAAATATCTTCTAAAAAGTATAGAACAGCATCATCTCTAGAAATTGCTTTATCGGCACTAGGAACGATATACCGGGTGTTCAAATTAAAGTGTTACAGCTATATACCGCCTTTTATAAAAAACAACGTTTCAAACGAAAGTTTTATAGTTTTGTGGGGAAACAATTTTGACTAAAATCGTTTTTATAGCTAACCATAATATGGCAAACTTTTTTTTCGCCCAGCAAAATTTTCAAGTAGCTGTTACTCAAAAAATAAAAGTCCAATAAAAAATATTTTCATTAAAAGTTTCTTATTTTTTTATGTACTTTAAGAATATGTAAAAAAATGGGATTCCCATTTAAAAAAACAAAGTCCACCTCGATATGGCCATATTATGGTCAGCTATAAAAAAATTAATTTAGCCAAAATGTTTCCCCCAAAAAACTATAAAACTTTTATCTGAAACTTTTTTTCTAAAATGTATATTTTCGGCGGTATTTAACTGTAACACTTTAATTTGAACACCCCGTATATGCTGCCACTGTTAGTATCCTATAAAAAACATTTACAATGACACAATTGGGGTAAAAAAAAATTAACAGAAACTCTTTATCTAACATTAAAACTCTATAAAAAATAAATTTTTTCGCCTACCTCTATCCCTAGGGAGGAAAAGTACTTTTACTCCCTAGGGAGAAAAAGTAAAAGTGACGTCATGGTATGTCATAAATGAAATAGCTTATACGACATAGACGACCTAAACTATATTCTATTATATAAGTATAAATTTTACCGTTTATTTATAGAACACCCTGTATTTTGCAAAATAGTAAAAACCAGTAAATTGTTATTTTAATTTAACGATTTTTACATTAATAATTTGACTTCAATTCATAGATTCATCCGATTTTCGAATTTAGGACAGAAATATTATAGCATGCTATGGTCGATTGACAGATCAGTTTCAAAGTGTGTTACGCTATAATATATCTACAAAATATAAAATAATATTTAAAAAATGAGTGATTTAAGCGAATTTAAAGATATAATTAATACACCACCGGATATTTTGGAACAGGTTAATGCAACAGTACAATCTCTATTACCCCAAAAATCTAAAGAAAAATACGAAAAACAGTATTTACATTTCAAGCAATGCGCCGAAGAAAATTATTTAAAAATGTCTTATTTGAGGGAGGCGGAAAAATCATATGTATTACTTGGGAGTAAAGTGCCTTTTCCTCCCTTGGATGTTTACTGCCCTCCGCTTCGCGTCGGGCAGTAAACTTCATCCTGCGGGAGGAAAAGTGGAACTTTCCTCCCTAGTAATACAAATAGCTATTCTTTTCTAGTAAGTTAAATTTAATGCATAATTATTGTTGTTTGTAAGTCAGCATCTATAACTGTAAAATTTTATATTATAGAAACATAATAAAATAAACTACACTTCGTAAGATACATATTGTGACTAGTTTACAATAAATATTATATTTAGACATGAATACATTATTTTACTTACATTAAAAGCTTTAAACAGACATTGAATTGATTGCTTCTTGTGTTTTCTTTAGTTTTACATTTGATTTTTATCCTGTTTTACAATCTGAAACAACATATATCTTGCTTTGATGTTTTTTGTCACTCATGTTACATGTACTCAGGTACTTTTTTCACATTATTTTGATTCTTTTTATCAATTTTTGAAAAAATCACTTCATTTTACATTGACTTATATAGAAAATTGACTGCGCTGTTATTAGACATGCCAACAACAGTCAATTTCGCGAACTTTATAAAAAGAAGGACGGAAATTTGAAATTTGACAATTGCCGATTCGTTTCCTTCTTTCTTCATAATTGTGTCATAATATCAGAGTAAGTATCTAAGGTCATAATATCAGTGGTCATAATAGCCCAAGAGCCCACTGCAAATTTTTGCCGTCATCTGATAACGAAATGAAATATACCCCAAAAGCATGAAAAAACATTGTACTTTACCGAATGGTACCTGTGCCAATCCCAATCCTGAGCAAAGTGGCTAAAAAAAATTATTTAATATTAAAAAAATCACAAGGCATGACAGCGCTAATTTTGTTTGTCCTTAAAGTTTTCCAGAAAATAACATTCAAGTATATCTTGACATATATCATTAAAGGGAAACATTTTCTTCCTCTTAACATCGCACATTAGTAGGTAAATATCATTAAAAATATGAATCAATGTTTGCTGATTTAAAACTTTATTTGTATGCCTATTGTTGTGATTCATTTTTACAGGTTGCCATAGAAACGACAAAAAAACTACTATGATTATAGCTTTGTTTTGGTTCACTTTCGTAACTGTTCTAGAACTCTTCCAGAACCTTTGGAGCATGTGCAGTAGATATTTGCTGTTTTGGTTTCGCTAAAACTGTTCCGAACCTGCAAGTTCTGTGTTTTGGTTTTTCTTGGGAATGGTTCCATAACCATTCTCGAACAGTAACGTCGATTCTGGCCTAAAGCGAGAACTGTTTCAGAATCGATATGTTTGCGCATGCGCTTTTTTGCAAATAGATTTGTTTTTGAGATTCTGGCCATGTTTTGTGTTGGAATTTTTACAAGGAATTTTAAAATGTACTAATGAGAATGGAGTAGTTGATGTTGGGTCATAAGATTGTTACGAATAAATTATTTAATTTATCTACGTTTTATAATATTATGTGGCCTCTTTCTTGCGTATACACTGACCCTGTGTTATTTCTTCTTTCTTATTTATAATTTACTTTTTGACATTTCTGGCAGTGTTTTGGTTTCGAATGCAATGGAATGGTTACAGAACTGTTCAGAATTAAGGACCATTGCGCAATAGTTCTGCGCATGGTTCTGGAACAATTCTAGAATGTGAACCAAAACAAACCTTATGGTTTAAAATAATTGTCTAACAAGAGTTTTTAATTATTATTGACTATCTCTGCAAATGGTTTATACAATACCATCCTTCTTCCTTTCATACATAAACATGGTTTAAAAGGTAGGTAAAAATATTAATAATTTAGGTTTAAAAGCTAGGTTCACAATGAATTAGGATTGTAATTTTCAGGGAAAACATAATTGTCGCTGTCGCATGTTTTATGTGATTTTTTGAATATAAAATAATTTTTTTTAACCACTTTGCTCGGGATTGGCACAGGTACAATTTGGTAAAGTACAATGTTATTACATGCCTTTGGAGCATATTTCATTTCGTTATCAGATGACGGTCGAAATTTGCAGTGGGCTCTCATACTATAAGGGCAGAAAATGAGCTTTAGCAGCCCACGGCTATTAGCTGATAGCTAAGGGCTGCTAAAGCGTTTTTTGCATGCGTGGCACAATTGTTTTTCGCCTACAAAAAAAAAAAAAAAACAAAGAAAAGGAAAATATAACGAAACTCTTTAATTTTACAAATACAAGAAACTTAAGTAGTAAAATGTACGAAATTATTTATTGTAGTAATTAATATTAATTATCCCTTGATCACTAATAGACTTACACTGGCGTTTAATCAAAATTTATGTGAATTGTCAAAGTACGCAAGTGACAGTCAAAGGTATCTAGATATCTAGTTAAAAACTACAAAATCGGGCTGTTATGAGTTTAGCAGCTCATGGCACGATATACGTTACTTTCGGTCATATTTTTAGGGTTGATATGATTCATTTTCACATATGGTAGGCGAAAAATACAGTAGAATAACTGTCATCAGTTGCTTTGGATACACGCTAGTACACTGCAAACTTTGACATGTTTTTTGTTGAGTTGGTGTCTTCAGTTTTTTCCCTAAGAGTGTCTTAAAGTTTCGCAAAATATTTAAAGTAGTGCTTCATTTTGAAAGTTTTAGGATGTGTGACATTTATGCAAGTAAGTTTATATTTTTTAGCAAACTCTTAGTGTTTGTTTATGTATAGAGACGTGGAAATATTACCAATATTAAGGAAAGTGTTTTTTCATTACATCTAAATATTATTTTTTAAGTTTTGGTAAGAATATCCTAATGTGTTACATAAAGTTACACTATTTACTATTTACTATATATATCTTTTATCTTTGGGTATACTACTTTGTACTTCCTTGAGAAAATAGGATTGGAAGGGTCGCTATAGGCATTGAGACATTTCCTTAGTGCAGTGGCGACAGAAGGGGGCACAATAGATCTTTTAGGTCGCAGTGTATTAACACGCCATTCTCAACATAACATACTACTTTGTAGTAAACTTCAAGTTAGCTGCTACTTTTTGCTACTTTCTTGGTAAAATCCATATAAGTATTAGTAGTACAGTAAACATTTACGGGCTACGAAAAGTGTAGCGGAAGACTTTGGTACTTACAGAACAAAGTATTCCGTTAATTTTACTGATTTTTTTGCATATTTACAGAAACTAATAAAACACATTCTCTTGGAAACTAAAGAATATGTAAATTTTATCTTTTAAGCCTTTTCTATGTACTTCTAGAGCCGAGAAATCATCAAATGCGGGTACGAGAAATTTTTGAAAAGGGAAAAGAGATGAAAAATAATTATAAAACATTATTGTCCTTGAGTTGTCAACACTGCCAAAAACAAAATGAACAGAAAATAAAACATATAGCAAGTAATTTTAGTACTCAGTTTAAGAGAAGATGGGCTAAAACTTACCGAATAAAACAAAAATTTTGTGAAACTAATCGACTGTAGCTGGAAAATTACGTCGTTTTACCAGGTGCTTTACATAAAGGAGGAATGCCCAAAGAAAACTTTGAAAATTTAGGTTACTCCACGAAATATAAAAGAACCAAACAATAAAGAACGTTTGATACGAATGAGCAGCAAAAAATTTACAAAATATCGAAGAAGAAATGCCCAATGCGACTAAAGTAAATCGTCTTAGCAGTGACAGTGCTTTGGAAATAGTAATAGATGCAAAGTTATCCAAAAGACAATATCAGAGTCCGCAATTGAGAACAACACGGATAAAGAGAAAGTAAAAGTTGAAAAGTCTTTTGGTAGGTAGAGAGGGGGTAAACGTCAAACCACGTCGGGCGGCTCCGAGAATTTCGCAGTAATGTTTACCTGCCAGTGTCGTTTCATAGAATAAGTAATTTTAAATTGTTATCGGCGGAACCGGACAATCGCATGTATTTATGGATTATAAATAATTATTAAACATGTATTATAATATTAAAATCATAATTTTACAAAATTTCAACAGCTATTCACAATTTATTAAACTATTTACTCGAAATTATTATTAACATCTATAAAATAATTTTGTACGCCAATGTATCGCGTCCACTTCGGTCAGATCCGCTGCCAACCTGTCAATTTATGTGTATAAAGCACTGATCTGTGTAAAACAGATCAGTGGTATAAAGTGGGAGAACTGGCAAAAACATTTCCAACTTTTACTTCTGTTCTATTTATCCGCCTTACAATAACATAAGGAAAGCAAAAAATCGATGTTATGCCAAAAATATTCTATCCGCAGAGCATTCAGTTACAGTTAACCTAAAGTCGCTATTGGACCACACTACATGCAGGCTCCTATCAACTTTAGAATTGGACAATTTTAAGATCAAATATACTCCTGAATATAAAAAGCCACTGGGGATTATAGTGGACCAACCAAAGCAAGGAGCTGGTAGTTCGAATGATGGTAATTGTGCCAGGGCCTTTTTCTGAAACTATGTTTTTATTACTGGATTGGATGAAAGCTTAATATATAGATTTTAGGTGATCCTTCAGGTGATTGCAAGCAGTTTCAATATTAATTCAGACAAATTCAAAATTTACTGTTTAGATACCGCTAAGATGTGCATATTTCTTTACCCTTGGTATAGAATGCCTGTGAGCGTCCATAAAATTCTATTGCATGGGCCTTCAATTATAAATGCTTCACCTGTTCCCATTGGCCAGCTCTCTGAAGAAGCACAAGAGGCGCGCAATATGGAATATCGGAGGTACTGGGAGCATAATTCCCGCAAATGCGACAGACCTTTAACAAACATAGATGTGTTTAATAGTCTATGTATTTCATCAGATCCGGTTATAACTGGCCTAAGGAGAAAAACTGTAGTTCAGAAGTGTTTTTCTCCAGAAGTCCTTAGTCTTTTAGAGGCGCATTCGCCAAATGCGCTTTTAGATTCTTCGTCTGAGAGTGATTCTGATTAGTTTTTTTCTTAAGGTTTCATAAAGTTAAATAAGGTTTTGTAATTTTCATAAATGTAATAAAATTCACCATATTGTTCATTTGACAAAATGCTCATTATCGCATAGTACCTTTGGAAAGGGATTTAAAGTGAGTAAACGCAAATTTTAATCGATGACACTAGTTCGAGCTTTTTAAGTCTCATTAGGTTCTTTTTACTTCGTTTCTGTAGCTTACGATTGTTGTGATCTTTTGTTTACCTAAAATACTTAATAAAAATATTTCCTTCCTCGCAAAAACTGTCAAGTTCGAAGGTTAGCACGAAAAATATTTATCAAAATAGCTTGCTTAGGCTTGAATTGAAATATTAGCGAGAAAAAATAAACTAACAATTGCCTCTATTTTAAAAACGATTTAAATCAAAGATCATAAATCATTTGCATTTGAACAAATGATTTAAATCAAAGATCGATTTTTTAAAAAGAAAGATTTAAATCAAAAATATTTTTTAGATTTAAATCTTTTTTAGAATTTAAATCATTTTAGGAAAGATTTAAATCTTTTCGAAAGATTTAAATCATTTTAGGAAAGATTTAAATCTTTTCGAAAGATTTAAATCTTTTCGAAATATCTAAATCTTTTTAAAGGAAATAAATATTTTCATAGATTTAAATCTTTTTATAGATTTGGGTAACTCTTTAAAAAATGCTTTCGGTAGGCCAAAGATAATGAATACTTCAGTAATGTGATTATCTCATAAATAAAACGCAAAACTCGATCAACTTTTCTCGTATTTATTTTTTATCGTTATTAGCCCAATACAATTCTTACGAAAATATTAATTTTAAATAATAAATATCCGATCAAGATAAAAGTTTTAAGGATTTATGCAGCATGATATCTATAGTTATGAAAATTGTTATTTAAAAATGTCATGTCAATTGGTAAATAGGAATTTTTCAACCCTTTAAAAGATACTTTTGGTATGCCTATGATGCCACAAAACAATGGAGACCTAGTTTTTAAGAAAAGTGATTTTTTTTCTGAAAAATCACTTAAATCCGTTAACTCTTCCTTGAGTTAACACGCTTAATGTCATACATACATAAACACCCCACATAGATGCACATACATCAGACTCTTTAAAAATATGTTTTTTTTCTACTTAGGAGTCTCTCCCGGAAAAATGCATTTCATTTTCAAAATCTCCCGGCTATGAATAATGAAATTGAGTGGGTTCAATTAAAAGAGTTCGGTAAATAAATAACCAAAGTGAGCACGTTTGGGTTAATTTTTTTGAAAAATGTGTGGATGAATCAGACAGAGAAATTAAAAATGTAATTAATTCGCTCTATCTATGCCAAGCGTGTTTATTGAACTGGTCAAAAAGTCATAATCGTCTTAATGCAACTCATGTCAAATCTGAAATAAAATTGCATAAATTTAAAATACATATGTAAAGAGTTTCAGGATATTGTAAAATTTTATACTTAAGAATAATCTTAAGTCATTGCAATTATTTGTTACACTACTATTTTTTTGTTTTTCTTTTCTCTCGGATTTCTGATTCAACCCTACTGACATGCTGACTAGATTATTATTCAGGAATAGACAGGTTGATAACGGTTTTGACGAATCAGGTGATGTAAATCGTTTTAAAAAGATTTAAATCTTTAAGAAAATTTAAATCATTTCAAAAAGATCGCATCATTTTACAGATTTAAATCATTTCAGAAAGATTTAAATCAATAAAAAGATTTAAATCCTTTTAAAAAGATTTAAATCCTTTTAAAAAGATTTAAATCGTTATAAAAATATTTAAATGGTTTTAAAAAGATTTAAATCGTTTTAAAAAGATTTAAATCGTTTTAAAATGATTTAAATCTAATTTTTAAATAAAAAATCAAAGATACTTTTCAAAAAGATTTAAATCATAAATCAAAAATCATTTTTTTAAAAAAGATTTAAAATCAAAGTATTTAAATCAAAAAATGTATTTAAATCAAAAAATGATTTAAATCTCACTGATAGGTGACAGCTCTGCCCATAGATTAGGTAAAGTGAATAGATGGGAATCTCAATGGTAATATTCTGAGTCGATGTGCTGCCATCTATCAAATTGGAGTGGTACTAAAATTCAATATGGCCGCAGCGCGGGATTTTTGAAATTTAACTTTCTGCTAGTAGCACAAAAATATAATGAAGAAAATCAAACAAAAAAAAATAAATTGGCAAATATTTGACTAGTTTCAAATCATAAAACAACCATATTGACTGTTTTGTGATTTGAAACTAGTCAAATATTTTGCAAATTTTTTTTTTGTTTTTCTTCGTTATATTTTTGCATTAATTTCAAACTTGAAATAAAATGCAATTTATTTTATTTTTTTTATTACAGTAAGTTAACGCCGCATAATTTGTCTATTGAAACATGGAAATACTCAAACAAATATGCATTTATACCATTTAAATAATTAAATATTTATAAAACAAACCTATCAAAAATGTTTTCTGTAACAAGACCAATATAAAAGTTTTGCAACTTGGAGTGGCAATAAGTTTGAAAAAATTGAAGTTGAAGCATCATCCTTTTGGTGTCTGGTGAATTTGAGGGTGGATAAAATTTGCCATATGCTTATTGAGTCGACTAGTTAAGTTGAGGAACATTTCTTCATCCGATATTGTTTTATTGATTTATTTGTACAGCACTTGTAGTTATCAAATTCTTATTCATCATCTGTGCACTGTGATAAATGAATTTAACTTTCGAGCTTAAATTAAACTTACACACGTTTGGACCTTTGAAGATTTTGGGGTGTTTTCTTGTTTGATGTCAATGGCATTGAATCAAATTTTGATATTGATGGCTAAGGCTCAAATATTTCATCGATTTCGAAGAGCCAACATTTTCTTTACAACAATGATCATTTAAAAACTGAAAACAAAAAGAAATTTAAATAACAAACCAATTATTTTAACACTAAATCAAAAACAAGTTTACAAATATTACTTACCATTGATGCCAGTACAAGATGCATTTTTCTTAAGACACTTATTACAAATTGTTTGGTTATCCTTAATATGACGACCGCATATTTAATACGTGGTATAAATTGCATCACTACCAATATCTGGGAGTGCTTTATTGTTCGTTGCTGAAATCCATGTTCCCATCTCTTGAAAACATGCTTAAAATTGGAAGGTGTTGAAAAATAAATCTAGATGAACCAAAATCCAATACACCTTCAAATGCAACAGCCATTTTAATTTTTCCAATTTTGAAGTTTTGTTGACAAGCTGACAACTAACATGACATTTCGATACGAGCGCCATCCCATTAATTGGAGTGGTACTAAATTACCGTCCTCATGTTTTTCCATTTGAGTTACCAGCCTCTGCTCTAACCACTGAGCCAATCCACTCCGTAAAATGTCAAGTTGATATCGCTTTTTGTGTTGACTATGGAGGGTAGAGAAAAGGAGGACAATCTTGTATGGATCTTTATATTAAAAAGTGGCCACCAAAATGTATACAATTAAGATGGCGCTCGTGTAGCCAGGGGACAAAAGCCAATGCTATATAGTCAATAGATTGCTCATTCATAATGAAATCAGACAGGAAGCAGTAAATTGAGACCTCCGTGCCATTTTAATATAAGAATTATTTATTGTTTATATTATTATTTTTCAATAAAATTTGACTATTGTCGTGTATTGTCAAAATTTATCTACGATCACAGAACACTTACTCTTCTACGACCAGTCACTTTTCACGGTGTAGTTTTTAGTTTTTTATGGTTGAGCAATATTTATTACTATATACATCATTGGTGTCATTGTGTGATCTGAATTATCGACTGTCGACGTCCCCTGGGCACAGAAGCGCCATCTTAATTGTGTACATTTTGAGGGACACTTTTTGTATACAGAGATTGTTCTCCTTTCCTCTACCCTCCATAGTGTTGACTTATGATTTTTTTTTAAAGTTTAAGCCTCCTTAAACCCCTATTTTGATCAGATCACCAAAACAGCTTATGCCAATTACAGGGTGACGGGAAAATGTACAAAATACAAAAATAAGTTAGAACATAATGGTAAACATTTATACAAATAAAAAATATTTTAAAAAACTAAAAAACACGCATTTATGACTTTATCCTCCTAGAAATTTAATGTTTAATACATTTTTTTGGATAATACAGGGATTTGGAGAAATAATCAACAAAACTATCTACTATTTGTTGAGGTTGATTCAATAGTATTGTTTTCATATATAATTTTAGCTGGTATTGATGATTTATCTTTCTTTCTGTTTACGTATGACCAAATTTTTTTAGGGTTATTCTTCAGTTCATTTTCAATATTATTTAGGTAAAGTTAATGAGTAGCTTTTATATTGTGTTTTAATTGAAATAGTTTTTAACACTTTGGTGACTATTGAGGCAACCAAATTTTTAATAAACTCTATACGCCCTTCCCTTATCTTTAATCATTCGAATTATTTGGCCATTGTACCAGGGTGAATATGTACGAAAAGGGCTAATCTTATTTGGAGTGTGTCTTTTAAGCGTCGATGTAATTTGACCTACAAAATAATTTGTAGGTATTTCGAGATCACTAAGCTGACTAATAAAGTGTGAAGTAGTTCAGAATATAGTGCAGGATAGTTACTCTTCTTAAAATTAAGCTGAGAAGTGTCGGACTTAAAATTAACTGTTATCAAAACTGAGATCAATAGCTAAGGATGGTGATAGCTGTTTTCTTTACTAATAATTTCAATGGCTTTTGAGACAGAGCAGTTAATATTAGAAATTAATAAGCCAATAGTCTGTTTTCTGAATTTAAGAGATCATTGAACTGTCAAAAAACTTTGAGAGATTAGTAATTAACTTACATTTATGTGTTTCATTTCTTAAATTATCAAATTCGGGAACATTAAAATCACCTAGCATAATAAAGTTGTGACCGTATAAACATGTAATACGCTCGGAAAGGATTTCATAGTCTTGAATGCTACATAATGAAGAAATATATGCAGTTAGGACATATATTTGTTTAAAATTAATAGTAATTTCAACAAGAACCATATCAATAAATTTAATATCATGTAATCTTTTACAATATTTTTCCAAATCAATAACAGTAGATGTAAAATTTCTTTCAAGTGCTACTAGTACACCCCTTCCTCTCGGTTATTGGTTTCCAAGAAACATCGAAACATCGCATAGGATCAAAAAGCTCAGCATTCTTGATAGACTCATTGCACCAAGTTTAAAAAGTATCCTGAACATTGAGTAGTAATTGAAGAGTTGCTTGACATTTCGTGTGTTTTTGAACGAAGATCACGTACATTTTGGTAGAAAGAAAAAAAGTTTGGTTTGAAGATATAGATTTATTGTGATTTGATTGAGGAAAACTGGAGTTTTCTTGTAGTTGCTAGAGTTTATTGTCTCTGAATTTAGTCACAGCCTTTTGATAATAATGACAATTATTATCCCAAACTGCATGCTCATATGATACATCAAAATTTAAATTTAGTTAAGGATTATAGCAATGCCCACATTTAAGAATACTCGATTCGCATTTTGGGCAATTTGGCTCTAATTTCGAACAATTATCTGAAACATGGTGAAGACCCCAACATTTAAAACAACGATGAGGTTCAAGTGCCGAATATATAGGGCAGTCAAAAATCAAACCCTATTGTAAGTTTCCCCGTATCAATTGCCTTTTTGTACGTATGTAAGTCAACCTGGAGAATAGCTTAATATAATTTGGAATTACGTTTATGTGGCTTAATAGAAATAACATCGCATTTAGATCCAGAGCTAAAACATGACATGTTCTATGATTTTAAGTTGTTAATAAGGACATTGCTCTTAAACTTTTCAGGCATATTTGTTACTTCAATCTAGGATTCAACGTGGTCAACTTTTTCACAACTTATTTGTCACCTAGTTGATTATTCACTAAATCGTGAAGTCTAGCGCCATTTCTAGTCGTCTCCATTTTGGGTATGTTTATATTCGAATTGATAGGGTCGATTTTCTTTAATATTTCAGTTTTAGTAGTGCTCGCATGTTGGGAATTAGTTTTAGATGTAAAGAGCTATTTTCGTTTCAACAACATTCGAAAATTAAGGTTTCTCTGGCACATTTGATTTGGAAACTTCATCAAGAATTGGTGACTTTAAATTATATTTAGAACTTCTGCGGAACTATCAATCTTGCTTAACAATTCTTGGCGAGGTTTTGAAAAAGACCATTTATTTTGTCTTCAGTCATTATTTCAGAGACTTTCTTCCCGATTTCCTGAATACTATTTTGATACTTGATACTACTCATGATTGCTTTTATCAAAAATTAATATCTTAGGCTAGCAATTATCACATACAAAGAAAAAATTTCTAGATTTTAAAAAAACATCAAAACTGGCATTTCCTCGTGTGAAAGGGCACGCAGAGTTTTAATACTCGTAATTAAATTAGTTTCATATAGTTTGATTAAAATTTAATTTCTTTTTCAAAATGTGGACCAAATAAAAATGCTGTTATTTATCGATTCTACACAAAAATAACTTATTTTAATGTATATTTAATTTTGATAACTAAAAAATATACTGGCAATTAGTTTGACAGAAATTGTCACTTATTTAAATTTTAAAAATAGTAGTTGGGTGTCCAAAATATGAACTGTGATTATTGGATTTCATTTTTTGCAGTGTTCTCACTACCTAGGATGGATTTGAAATATTTTCGCAATAGCATACTTTTTCGTTTTGTAATATGTGCGTAGATAAGCTAATATCCATGTGGGTGTAGAAAAAAAAATGTATTCCTTACTAAAGCCGCGCACTATAATGCGGATATAACTATTTAATTTACCTAGTTACCTTTCAAATTTTTATTATTACCTTTCCAACACTTTGCCTTAACCCGAATAACTGATTACGATTGTAAACATTTTTTATTTTTTTTTTTTAGATAACAAGTACCTGGAAAACAAAATGTATAGTTTAAATTGTTTGTATAAAGAAAACATGATAGCTGCTTTTAAATAAATATCGTGTCAAATCATCAGTGCATGATTGCATGAAAATATATACGACTATTTATATCTGGATAAAATAATCACTACATCATGAAAAAGACACAAAGTGCTAATTCGATATTTCAAGATTTACTACAAGAAATTCAACAAAAGAACGAAGTTAAACTCATCTCGGATACATTTTCTAAACTAAAATCAAATTGCGAACGTGTTACTTTTGTTCACGAACTTTTAGAAAAAAATAAACTATTGCCTAAATTGATTTTTGATAAAAAATGTGACGAAGCAGCTGTTCGATTAAGAGAAGAAGGAAATCTAAAATTTAAAAAGAAAAGACTGAAAGAAGCTGTGGATTTTTATACTGAAAGTATGGGATATTCTTGTAGTTTTGAAAATTATTCTAAGGCTTTAGCAAATAGGTCAGCTGCGTTATTCGAGTTGGAATTATATGAAGAATGTTTAAATGTAAGTACGACTTCAATTTACTCTACAATCAATAATTTTAAGACTATATCACATAAAATAAGGGCAAAGGTTTAATAAATATTAGCTGACATAAGAACTAACAATATAGTCTTATATAATACGGATCATGTAAACTACCTCGCCCGTATGCACCGTACATGTTTAATCCAGATCAAGGGTTTAATCGCGTTTAGTACCATTTTTAGCTATGCATCGTAATAAAAATCATTCTTAATCCGATTTTATTATAATCCGTCAATATCGGAGGATTATATTATTTAATCGAGATTTTCTAACGTCATAAATATGTCAAACGTTTTGTCAGTATATTTGGAACTTTCTATTTCTGTTTCTTTTATTTATTTTATTTGAATTTTATTAAAAAACGAAAATAGAAAACCAGCTTTTCTTGGAAGATGACAAAGATTCTAGACAAAATTACCAGAAAAGTGATTATTTTTATACGATGGGCAACTTTGTCATTTTTAAGAGATGTTTTATTTTCTAACGTTACAGCTTAATTCTGTAGTTAGATGGCAAATCCAGGACATGTTAAAAAAGGTAAAAGTAAGCAATACATATTATAATATTTAAGTGATTCTGTACACTAATACTGAAAATATGTCATCCATATAGTTTTGAACAAGCACAGTGTAGGGAAAGTATTCATATAGATATTCGTTTTGCATAGAAAAGCTTAAAATACAGCAGTTTGTATGTATATATGTTAAAATTACCAAAAATGGTTTTGCCATCCAACTGTAGAATTATTTTTTTTTTTTAATTCATTTGACATTCTTTTTCACCCTGCATAAAATTCTGTATGCGTCTCAAAACACATGTATGCGTTTTACGGTGTGTTTACGATTTTGGTACATTAAAAAAGTAGGGCTTCTATATTCAACGGCCTTTGACATACATTTCTCCTATTCAAATCTAAAGTTTTCTTCTTCTGTTTTTTGTGAAATTTATAATAATCCAGTGTTGTAAACTAGATTACCTAATCCGTAGCCGGTGCATAGAAAATAACCACTAGTCATTTAAACGAGATTGGCAAATCTGGATTAAATTTTAAAACGGTGCATATGGGCGTAAATAATAAAATAATAATTACATTTACCCATTTACCTAATTCTTCTTTCGAAAATTAAGAGTCATTTTGATAATAATCTTTAACTACACCACCGAACATAAACAATACAAGAAGGGTCACTTGGCGTCGGTACTTTGAAGTAGAGATGCGCGATACGATCCGATATTCCAGAGTATCGATACTTTTACGTCCGATACTCGATATTTTGGATCCATACTTTGCTTCTTGATACATTGCAAGTATCGATACATTTTGCACTGCATCGATACCTTTACGATCCATGATTTTTAGTGGATGTTTTTTTTAAATTGCCGGAGACAGACCAAAGGTATAAAAAAAAAAAAAAGAAATCATAAGAATATGTTTAAGTCTACGTATCTATATTTCTAGATAATATATTTCATAAACTTTTCGTATTTTACTGTTTATTTAATTAGGATAATTAAAAGAATTATTTTTTTGGTTTTTATTTTAAATTTTTAATTTTTAATATCTTTTGATTATGATGCAGTATCTTTAATTTAATTTACTTATCAACCCCTATGTGGGAATAACTGGATCGGTAAACTATCGATATTTTGAGTATTGATGAATTAATATTCGATATTTTACTGGATCGATACTTTACGTTCTGATCCGTATCGACACCTAATATCGATACTTTTGAGTGTAACGCGCATCCCTACTTTGAAGTGTGGCCTACAGAAGCGAGCCGCCGTCACGCCGCCGTATTCGGAGTAATCAAGTCGCCGCGTGCTGTCTTTGTTGGCGATGTCAAAGTTACTTCTCAAGCGACTGATACGGGGGTCAATAGAAATAGTATCGATAGAATTTAATTATTTATTAAACTGTTCAACATATTTTTTTATTTTTGTTAAAATAAGACAATGAATGTTATTAGTTCCTTTGAATATAAAATAAAAACAAAAAGTATCTAGTATCTAGTAGTGTTTCACAATATAAAATTAAGCAACCATTTTTTGTTAAAAATTATTTTTTCCACTTTTTAAAAAAATACAATATAATATAGTTTAATATTCTATTCGTATTCTAACAGAATATGTTTTCTTAATATTATTTTAATATATTATAAAGTAAAGTATTACTCTCACTTGGGTCCCAGGAGATAACGGGGTAAAGGGTAATGAGATTGCAGATAGTCTTGCAAGGAAAGGGGCTCAAATTAGTCTGCGTATCGTGGGCTCAAACGGGCGGCCTCGAATTGGTCACTATATACCTGAAACTATAAAAGGTTTACTCGAACTGCACATTCGATAGAGGATTAAAAATTTGCCTACTACTCGAACTGGGCATCAACTATTAACGTTTGTTTGACCGGATCCTCGGCGGGCGGTCCTAAATCGCAAACCATACCGGATTAGACTTACCTAGTGACACTGATATTACTGATGTTGACCATTTGAAATGGAACCAAATTTATCTATCCAATACTAAAAAATCTGATTCATTTGAAAACTACTTTATTATTACAAATTCAATAAATAAGTACATTTTTTTAAAATATATACAAAATGAAAACTTTAATAATAGCAGATAAATATACATAATACATAATTATATGAAAACTACACAATAGATAATTATAGGTACTCTAATACCTTTAATAATAATAAGGTTCGATTACATTTAGAAGAACACAGTTACGTCATCATTTGGCAACGTAATTAATTATCGCCGCCTAATGGGGGTTTAGTGGAGTGTTAATATTATAGAAATATAGGAAATATTGTTTTATACCTAACAACTTACTTAATTTTTGTTTATTGAAAGTTATAGATAATATGCATTCGAAATTCGAAGTAATGGTTATGACGTAGCTGTGTTCTTCTAGTTGTTATCGGACCCTACCTACCTATTGTTTATAAAAATAACCTAAACATTTTACGAAATTAAATTTCTCGTCGTTTGTATAATTATCTATTTTTAATTTTAAATATTCATGTCTACGTGTTGTTTCATTTTAAAGACAATGTTTTTTTTTTGTTTTATATTTTATGAAATTTTCATATTTTTGTGAGCGACATATTATCCAATTTTAGGAAAGAAAGTTCTTATAAACATGTGTGATAAGTTATCGTTATTATACAGAGTGATGCATTTTTTATTTATTATTTATTTTAATAATAATATTGTAATAATTGTATGACATTGAAATAGTACATTTCAGAGCAAACTGATAAAATGCAAGCTTCCAATCGACGTTTAATGTCAAAGATATTACAAAAAATTGAACACATTTAATAACGAGAAAACTTATCACACTTTTAGTCTTAAAATTAAATAAGGAATCACTCACAATATTATTACAAATTATTTTGGAAACACTGTATGTGGGCGGGATGTGAGCGTCCAGAATTTACCATTGTGTATATATATCATTAATCATTAACAATAAATATTTGAAATCAAATTGAACTTACCTATCTTCTTATTAAGTAATTTAACATCTTTGACGTGATTATGTGTTCTAGAAATTACCTTATCTTCACTTAAGGTGCAAACTTTGGCATTACAACTTCTCACAGTACATCACCGACATATTTCATTTTGAAAAAACTAAATTTTCCTTCGTCTAACACAAGAACTTTTTTTCCACGTTCACTTAAATGAAACTCTTATTATTCCATGTTGTAAAACACAAATTTAAAGGTAGGTGTCAACAAATTATTTTATTATTTTGCGAGTACATACAAACCAAGAAGATATAATAAGAACTAATTTTTTATTTTGAGGTTTCATTACTTATTATACAAATTTTACAAATTTGTTTTTTTTTAAGCATTAGAAAATTATTAAAGAGGGATTTAAGATAATTACCTGCACTAATTTAATTTTGTAACATATTAGAAAATTATTTAGGTAAAGGGACTGAAAAAGAATTATCCCATGGGCAGTGCTCAATTCGAGAAAAATTTCTCAGGTACCTGAGGCAACCCTTGCAATATGATTTTTAGAGTGCGCAGTTCATGCACGCCCGCTCAAACACCCTTTGTGGGATCTGAGCAGTTCTGCAGTATCAGCAGCAAAACAATATTAGGAGAGATTAAAAAAGAATTGGGCAGTAAAAGAAACGATAATTGGAACAATCTCATTGCTATGTATATTTTAATAACATTTACCTTTTTCTGTTTGAAAAGAGGCGTCGTTGTGGTCTTTAACATAATCAAAAATATTAAAATAGGTTTAATCTATCTACAACTGCTTTTTTGGAAAAATTTGGCATGTTTCAAATTTTTAAATGCTTCCAGCAATTGTAAAATTGTAATATCAGATATTTAGCATGCTAAAAATGAGTTAAATCTAGCTTAAATAAGTATATGAAATTTATTTAATTATCAGGTTTTGAATTTAAGGAACACAAACTGGGCTCAAAAAATTGACACGACACGCCAAATATTTTCATTAAAAAATAAAACAAGCTTTAAGTACACCATTTTACATAGCAGAAAATACACAAACATTTATTATTTATAATTAGGAACTTAGTATTTTTCAACAAAGTCAATGAGAGAACATCATCACACTGAAGACGAGTTTTCAAATTATGTTTCATATAACTCCTTTTAGGAAAATGTAAATCGCAAATTTTTATTCTACCATAACATGGTTCCGGGGTTAAATTAGCATATTTATGGGTACCTACATACCCTAACGCGCGTTTTCAATTTTCAAAAAATCATTAAAATTTTATCGAAACCGAATCTGCGACTATAAGTTAATAAACAAGGTAGTTATAGTTAATGCAAACTATCTCACCTAATTTTCTCTTTCGGGCATCGAAAAAATTATCTTCCCATTTTTTGTTTACTGTTGGAGCCATCTACATAATATATCACGAATATTTTCATATTTTTAAGTTACAAAATTCGCACACAATACTTATTATTATAGATGTTATATTTAAATCTCCCCGCAGGAATAATTCTATGGAAATAACGTCACCAATCAACTACAATAATGATTGTTTGTTTAATAATTATCAAACACACCGGTAAATTCGATCGCCAACGTTCTCGTTCGATACTTTTATCTTCATCTTTAACTTTATCTTTGTCAGTTGTAAGCAGGTAGGGTTATGTTTGGCCCAGAACACTGCGGCATCTTGGGTCTATTGCATTCCCTGCTTTCCCCGTATTCAGGTACTATCTTTGGAATAGTCCTGTGTCTTTGGTTAGTTTTAATAGGTTCCCTACCAAGTGTTCCTGGGGCGTTCTTTCCGGTTCTAGGCCGAAAAGGATGAAACGTCGCCTAGTAAGAGCTTCGCATTCGAAGATCACATGGTATGAAGTTCCTTCCTTTTCCATGCAAAGTCTACACGTAGTGGGATCATTGTGTAATACCATCACATGAATGTGTTTCCTTCTTAAATTCTCTCGTACACATAATTCGTTTGCATGTATTTCAGCTTGAAATACAGTGGCATGCTTTCCCAGTAAGACGATGATGTCACATTTGGGTTTAACTCCATGTACGCCAGAGCCTGTTACCTTGTTAGTTTTAGATCCATCCGTAAACCATACTAGACCGCTAAGCAAGTATTTATCTGTATCCTTATTTACCTCGTTCCAGTTACAGTTGACCTGGAAGAGTCTGTTAAAGGTTAGGAGGGATGTCATGTGATCTGATCCCATATTTAATATAGAATCATTTACTTCATGTGTTATTCTGGTATGTTTTATTTGTCCAAGTGGGTTCCATTTGTTGAAAATTTCGAGTCTGTATGCACTCATTCTGGCCGCCCCCTATATGACTAGGTCAAGGGGTGGGAGGTTTAAAATAATTTCCATAGAGGCTGTCGGTGTACTTCTCAGTGCTTCTGTAATACAAAGGCATGCCAGCCTCTGTACTCCTGGGAGGGTATTGAGGGCTGTTCTCTGGTTTTCTTTTGGCCACCAAACAACCGCTCCATAAGTTATCATGGGTCTTGTTATTGCCAAATATAGCCTGTGCGGACCATTTTTGGTCTTAATCCCTATGTTTTCAAAATGCCCGTCTCCCTACAATGAGAGACATTTGTTGGTCACTTTTTGTAAGTGTTGGTTCCAAGTAAGTTTGCTATCTAGGATTAGGCCCAGATATTTTACTTGGTTCGTTCTGTTTAGCCTTCCTCCAAACAGAGTCCGAGTTTCTAAAACCTCTAACCTTGTTTTTCGAGTAAAGGTTATGAGTTGTGCCTTGTCAGGGTTTAACAAGAGGTTTTTCCTAACGCACCACATTTCTGTCAGCCTAAGAGCTCTTTGCATGAGTTCAAAGACTATGGTTTGGTGTTTCCTTCGGATAAGGATGACTGTATCATCGGCATATCCTTGGGCGTACAGCCCTTGATTGTTTAGTGTTTTCAGCAGCTCGATACTTACGACCACCACCTGTATAATCGTTCCGTCACAGCGTGCACCCTTCGTGCACCAATATACTGAAATTGGCCAAAATATATCAAGGAAGAGTGGCATCAGAGAGTGAGCGAGACAGGCAATATTGGGGGAGGAGCTTAGAGTGACCCTTCTTGTCTTGTTTATGTTCGGTCACTACTCGTACATATTTGTTATTTTTACTAAAAATAAAAAATGAGCTATAAAAGTGGGGTAGGTATTACTAGGCACTTTGAAAAACTAATCTCAGCCTTAGACATAATATATCTAAAAATTGCCTTAACACTGTCCAAATAATACAATATTTTGTCGGCATCATTAACTTGACAGAAAAAGGGGAGGGATACAACACACAATGATGTACTGTTTCGGGAGAGTCCATAAAAATTATTTAATGTTTAAAACTATACGTGTTAGGTATACAAATTAGGTATACAAATTATCGTGATAGATTTCCCTTACCAACAGTTATTTTTCGAAAAGATCATTTTCCACAGCGCGAGATTTATTATTATTATGTAAAAGTCCTAAAATGAAGTATTTTTAATTTTATTAAAGTAAAACAAACACTATTGATATCTTATATTTTTTCAGGACATTAACAAAGCTCTTGAACACCATTATCCAGATGATTTAAAATCAAAATTACTAAGACGTAAAGAAAAGGTATTGCAATATAAATCCTCAGATGATGAAAATAAATATTTTAATCCAATTCCAGATATTTTAGACGATTTAAAGTCAAATTATATACAATGTGCATCAAATTCAGTAGAAATAAAGTATTCAGAGTCACAAGGAAGACATATTGTTGCCACCAAAAATATTAATATTGGAGAGATTTTAGCTGTAGAGACACCTTTTAGCCAAATATTAGTTTCTGAATACTTCAATCATTGCCATAACTGTTTAAAACTTTGTTATAACTTATTGCCTTGTGAACACTGTACTAGATCTTTTTATTGCAATGAAAATTGTAGAAAAAATGCTCTTAAATACCACAAATACGAATGTAACATACTTAAAACATTGTTAAGTTTAAAATTAGATAAAATGAAGTTATTACCTCTCAAAATATCCCTTTCAGTAAAAAACTTGTACCCAACAATATCTCAAATTACGCAGCTAGATCCGAATGAAATTTACAAATCTGATGAATACAAAGAAATACACAACTTAATAGGTAATACTGACACCAGAACAGTAGCAGACCTCTTCGAGCGATCTACAACTGCAGCAGTAATTTTTTCACTAATCAAGAATAATGCAGATTTCTTTTCCTCTGACGAAGACGAAACTATTTTTAAAGAGCTACTATTATTACATTTTCAAACAGCTTCTTGCAACTTTCATGAAATTTCAGAGTTATCAAAAAACGAAGGCGGATATTATGAGACTGAAGAAATAGGCGCAGGAGCATTTTCATTTTTGAGTTTATTTAATCACAGTTGTAATCCGAATGTCGTTAGACATTGTCATGGGGATGCTGTTGTTGTTAGAGCTATTCGAAGTATTGAGAAAGGAGAACAGTGCTATGACAATTATGGGTAAGTGTTAGAAATCAATTATGTTCTGAAAATATACAAACCTAATTCTTCCCAAACGACTCACTAAAATATATTATTTTAAAGGTACCAATCAAATAACTGGAAAATTATTCACTGGATATATTCGTCAATAACATAGCATACTTAGCTATAAAACAGTTATTTAATATGCCTTTGTATACGCCGGATCGCTGGCCACTGCGAAAACTTCGATCACAAGTCTCTAGCAGTGCTGGCCGAGCTACAGTCTAAGTAGGTGACCAAACTCGCAGGGTTCGGGGCCCACTTAGACGGTAAAACGGATGGGTAGAATGCTTGAGTTAAACTAATTAGCAGTAGAGCATTTTAGATGCGGAACCCAGAGGAGGGAGACGCAGACTGGCCCTCAAAACCCAAATGAGGGAGCCAGTGACTAGACTAAAGACTGATTGTGGGGCGTCTGCCAGAACCTCTCAGGGGAAGAAAATGGATGTCTGATTTTGTAAAAAAATACCTTTGTATTATATGAGTACTGATTTATAATTTTAAACATCCCGACCTTTGACCTATAGTCATTTCGATGGAGGTCAAAATTAGTGCATACATATGCAACAATTGAAACTCCTGGGACATTACCTTCGATAAACTCTTCCAGATCAACTACAACTGATAGAATTAGGTACATTAAGAAGTAAAGAAATACTTCTCTTGAACAAGTATGATATGAGAATGGATTCAAAACGAACAAGGGAACAAATGCTGACATACATGGAATTAAACCTAAATTAGAAAAACATGTCACTCTTTTTCAGGTTAAAATTCATGAAATTTAATCAATTTTTGTGTAATAGAAAATATAATAAAAAGCTACACAAAATATTTTAATGTCTGACAGCCAAGTAACTACCCTTTAAGATGGTCTGGAACTGTTTTGGTATAATTAATCAACTGATAACCCAAAATAAGGCAATATCTCAACCTAAAGATTCTAATATTTAAAAGTAAACGAATGAGGGGTTAAACCATAATAAGTTTACAAAACTATACAGAACTGTTTTAAAATTATGATAATTCAATAAATTTTCTTTTAGATACCATTTTGCTGTTATGCCAAAACTACATCGGATACAGAATTTAAAAAAGCAATACTTTTTTGACTGCAATTGCAACGTGTGTGAAAACAACTGGCCACTACTTTCTGATTTACCGTTTACAGATGTTGAGACAGGTGTCACGGCCGAAGATATTACTAGTTTAAGAAAAGGAAATAAAAAAATTGCTGAAGATGTTTTGGTCAAGCTGTTACCCAAAATGCAGAAGTTGGAGAAAGTTCAGCCCAATAAATTGTTTTTCGAAATGCAGGAGGTTTTGAAGCAGTGTTATGCCTTGCTAGGAAATGTTAGGAGATATTGAATAATAAAGTTTAATTATTTTTATTTGTTTACTTAATTCACTTACTTAATGCCATTTAGAATAATTAAATCATGATTAGTGGGAAAAATCCCACTCATGTGCCTAAAAACTAGTTTTTTTACACCTATTTAAGGCCGAGATTTCCAAAGTGTGCCCACGGCGTCCTGGGAAACCGCGGCGCATTTACAATTACAACGCGAAATATTGCAAAAGCTTCATATTTACAAAATGTACCAAAAAAGGAAAATGTTTAAAAACTCGCTAAATAAAAGCTGTCTAAAACTATTTAAAACTTTTGCAAACATATTTTGTATCGGTAAAAACCACTGGTAATGACAGATATAGATACATTTACCAAGTCAGATGATTCGTTGAAACTTCTTGTGGTGCCCATAGCCGTAAGAGCGTTAATAGGCAATGAGAAAAACTACAAAAGTAAGTATATGGTGTGACGTCTATTTTGGACGTCTTCTAAACTTCTTCATTAAGACTTTTATTCGACCATGATTTTGGGTAGGTAGGTTTCCATGATCATCTATGAATTTACTTTAAAAATACGTTGTAAAAGTGACTTGATTGTAACGTCATAATGATAAAGACAATAACATTTTGCAAAATTCCTTTTTTTCATAAAATAAATTTAAAATTCGCGCGAATAATTCTGACATTGGCTGTCATAACGTCGTATATACAGGAACATCCAGTTAATTTTTTTAACCAATCACAAATTATTAATTAGATCCCCTATTCGAATACCCAAGTCCGACTCAGCTGAGACGTCCTTGAACGAAAATCGAAGTTCGGTTACAACTTCTCTAAAGTTCCAGTTGGTTCCGATGTTGGACTGGCATTTAGAGATGGATAGTAGCAAATATGTAAAAGGACATTTACGAATTTGTTCCCACATAGCACACGGACGTCTTATGGACGTCTAAAAGACAACCTTCAGGGATGTCCTCTTTTGGTACCGGGCCGCCAATCGGACGCCCAATGGACGTCCTAATGTCCAGTTTCCGTCCATCTTTGGGATGTCCCTTAAGGATGTCCCTGCGACATCCCAAAAGGTTGTCCTAGGAACGTAAATCAGACGTCCGAGGGACGATATTTGACCACAATCCATAAATGGCAATAATAACACAAAGTTAGCAATAAAAGGGCTTTATTTAACAACTTTTATTCTGAAAAAACTAGCTAGAGTTAAACGTTTTCAGTTAAAAAACCGGAATGAATTAAATTTAACATACAGCGCTGGTAAGATGAATCCTTGGGTCCTACTTATAGCTTGGGTTGACATAACTGAGTTTGATAATTTTGTCAAAATTAGTTTTTTTCCAACTTTTCGCCATTAAGGTATTTTCTTTCAGCCAGCGGCTACCGCCAATACACATTACTTATTCTCACCTCAACACAAAAGACTTCACTTTATAACCACTTTACCACCAACATCAAAAAAATAACAAATTACACTATATAACCTTTTTCTTCGTTAATCTAATAACTCACTTATATAAGTTAATTATTTAATGCCGAAAATTGTAACTGTTGTTGTTCACTTGAAAATAAATGATAGGTTAGGTTTTCTGTCCTCATACTCTTGCAAAAACAAAACGTTGATTTTCAAGTTATCGATTGAATGACCAACGATGCTAGTACAAAGAAAGTCCCATTGACGTCCCATGGACTTCCCATTAACTTTCTGGACTCGGACCGAAAACTAAACGCTTTGTCGAAACGGGACCAAAATCAGACGTCCAGAGGACATCCTTCAAAGGACGTCCTAGTGTTCACGGTAATCGAAAGTCCAATGGTATTTAGGTTCGGGACCAACAGGACCAACAAGGGAGCAAATCAGGACGTCAATGGGGACGTCCTGTGCTGTCTGGGTTACTATCCATTTCTAAATTCATGCCATATAACTAAACCTCGATTTTCGTTCAAGGACGACACAGTTGAGTTGGTTTTGGCTGAGACGTCCTTAAACGAAAATTCTTAAAATGTAAACAGTACGAATTTGCTAATTACCATCTTTAAATTCAAGTGCAACACTGGAACCACCTGGAACTCTAGCTTTTTCAGTACGGATAACGACTGGAGTTGCATACATTTTTCTTACCAGTCAACCGGGAAAAGACTTGAGTTGAAAGGTTGAGGTGTAGTTTAGGACGGGAAACGATCGTAGTTTGATAGTAATGTGCTATTAATATGACCAAAACCGCCCGTATTTAGGGGAATGGGACAATTCGCCGTCGCCGATTCGCCGTAGCCGATTCGCCGTAGGACCCATTCGCCGTCAGCCGATTCGCCGTCGCCGATTCGCCGTCAGAATATATATTTTATAGAGGTTTTGGATTCAGAAACAAATGAATTCTGTGAGAACATAAGGACTCTTTCGTTCATTTTCTTTTAAAATAGATACAGTTAAAATTTCATTAAAATCCATATTGATTTAGGTAATGAGCATAAAGGTAGATATTAAAATTAAGAATTTTAACAAAACCATTAAACGTTATACCTACTATTCACTTTTATTCAAGTATATATTAATGTTACGAATTGTTTAATTTTTCTTGGTATTAGGGTTTAACAATAACTATCCAACTCAAGATTTGGAGGAAGCCATTATTGTACTCGGCAATAATTTGCAAAAAGATTTACAACAGTAGTTGTGATTGGCCAGTTCTGGACGGGAGGTAATGAGAGGTAATTAGTAATTATCATAAGTACCCACCCCCACCCTTCGCGCAATTAGCAAGTACCTCCCAATGAGCGTAATTGCATAGTGTAATTGTATAGTGTAATTGCATAGCGTAATTGCATAGTGTAATTGCATAGTGTAATTGCATAGTGTAATAAGTGTAGTTACTTCATACGCATATAGATATAAGTATTTACTATGTATATCGAGTAGCGTGTAACGATCATAGTAAGTACCTCTTAGATAGTAATTGCTATGTATATCATGTAGTGTAAGGTTTAGTTCAAGTACATATGAGTGATTACTATTGTAGCATAAGGGAAATACGTCGGAGCATACCGAAACACATCCTTGACTCTCAACCGTCATAGCTAGAGTGAAGCGCAAGTCTCCAGCAGACACGCACGACGAAAACATCGGTGGAAGGGATAGTACCCCATTCTTAACACAATTTGCGAGCGCCTCTCAGACTTGTATATTATGAATAGGGGAGGGGAGCATAAGAGAGGTGGAGATTTTAGAGGGGATATATAGTAGCACCCATATTCAAATGAAATCAGTACAAAACTCGTGAGCTTTAAGCGCGTTGTAAGTTCCATTATCTAATATCGAAATTATCATAAAAATAATAGACATGTATAAGTGTAATTGTGGTTTAACATTTACAAGGATAGATAATTTACATCGACATCAAAATAAAAGTTGTAAGCTAATATCTAATCGCACCGGTGAATCATCGCGTGGTACGAAAAGATCTACCAATTGCAGCCCTGATGTTTTACCAGTAAAAAAAGCGCGTAATGGGAGATGTGAATCATGTAATGTAGACATCCCTACCAATCAGATGTCATCGCATATGAAGAGCCTTGACCATAAAGAAAAAGCCTGCTCAATTCATGCCGATGGTATATATTTAATTCAGAGTGCGTTTAAGTGCAGAATTGCAAGTTACAGAGTCAAAAGTGATAAAAAACATATAGATTATGTAACATTTTTTGATGCGGTAAAATGTAGAGTATTGGAATTGTTAAAAGTTGTTCTGAGGGTCCATAATGCCATTAAAGTTAATGTAGAGGTCTTCGCTACATATGTATTGCAGAGTCAAGATATTTCTGAAATCAAATCTTTTAATAGCATAAATCGAATACTAGATTTGTCGGCGGATTTGGATGCGACATATGCGGACTTTAAGGATGCGGCGGTATCTCAAACTGTAGACTTTCAACATAAGGATTCAGGTATTGTAGTTTTTATAGTGTATAATAGGGCGTTAACTAATAAATTATTCGTTGTTTCAGGCTGGTCGTTACTGGAAGTACTATTTTTAGAAGTAAATATAAATAAGTACTCTCCATTAGGCGGCTGCTCGCACATAAAGCTACCCAAGTTTATTGAAACCAAGAAGGGCGTAGTTAATGTGCAAAATAATGATGCGTACTGCTTTGCTTGGGCCATCACATCGGCACTATATCCAGCGAGAGAGCATGTTAGCGAAACGTCGTCGTATCCACACTTCGAGACCGTGCTGAATGTTGAAGGTATTGAATTTCCCATGAAGCTTAAAGACATTTCAAAATTTGAAGACCTAAATGATATAAGTGTTAATGTTTATGGTTTGGAACGTAGTTATGAAAACGGTAAGGCGAAATTTGAAATAGTAGGCCCATTACGATATTCCCGTAGAAGGTTAGGTCATCATATAAATTTACTACTAATAACGGCTGATTCGGGTAATAGTCACTACTGTTGGATTAAAAGTCTTTCTAGATTAGTGTCGAGTCAAATAACTAGAAATGGCCATAAAAAATTTTTTTGTGATGGATGTTTACTTTATTTTCGATCTGAAAGCATCCTATTGCGGCACCAATTGAGCGACTGTAATCATATATATACCTGCACGCCATCAGTAGAGCTAAAAAAAGACAAACGCGGTTATTATGTACCTGAAAATATACTCAAGTTTCAAAATTATGATAAGCAGCTAAGGGTTCCATTTGTAATTTATGCTGATTTTGAATCGATCTTAAAACCTATAGATATTTGCGAACCAGATCCGGAAAAAAAATTTACTATCCCTACATACCGACATGAGCCATATTCTTTTGCATATTTAATTAAATGTTCATTTGATAATTCATTGACGAAATTTGTAACTTTTACTGGTGACAATGCCGGTAGCGATTTCGTGAAACGGCTAGAAGACGATGTTCTAACTATTTATAATACGTATTTAAAAGATGTTGTTCCTATGCACCAATTGTCTAATGATGAAATAGATGATTTTAATACATCGAGTATATGCTCCATTTGTAATGAGGCCTTTCAGGA